TGTAACGGGTATCGCCTTCACTTGGCGTGGATGACTCCCACCCATTTTATCTTGTCAACAACCGGCTAGGTTCCAACCTGACATTGGGCCTAGTGGCCAAGAAGCAGTAAAACTCTGCTCACATCAGGCCCACAACCACACCTGGGCCTACGGTCTCAGGACAAAACTCTGATTCTGCTTCCGCTCGCGCACACAAATCTCGATCCTATCTCGCTTAAGACAATCTACTGGTATCGATTCCTTTCTCTAAACGATCCTGGGCGCCCCGGTGTGTCCATCCAGCGGTTCCCCCAAACGCGAAAATTTTTGGGCTGCCGCTGGGTGCCGCCCGCCGCGGCGCGGCTGGTATCGAGACTAGGGTTTCAGCCCTGTCTCTAGCTACTTTCAAACAGTCTGCTAGGCGTCCCACTGGTTGTACGTCTCGTACGCCATGGAGAGCCAACATCAATCTCACTTTATCACACACCCTCATCCCTCAAGCGTCTCGTCTGTGCCTATCTTCCGACTGGGAGACAGTGCACGGCAATGGGTCGCCAGGGTTGAGAGATGTGGTCGGATGTACGGCTGGAGCGAAGAGGCTCAGCTGGACGTCGCCATCTGCCGCCAAGGAGATGAGGCCATCTGCTGGCAAGCCGGCATGGAAGCGTCTCTCCCCGATTGGCCTAGCTTTAAAGCCGCGTTTCTGGAACGATTCGATCCGACCCAAGAAGAGTTGTTCAGCCGACTAGCTCATTGTAGGCAAGAACGGGGCGAAGCTGTACGGACATATGCTGACCGCTACCGCGACCTAGCTGCACAACTAGGCGTGGACACGCAACACGACCCCATCCACATGCATAACTTCTTACAAGGACTACAGCTCAAGGTTTACAACAAGGTTTTCCTCATGCGCCCATCTAGCTCTGAAGACGCCGTACGATGCGCCATCTATATCAACGAGGGCTTGGACCGCCAGGATGTGGCTGGCCACTACGAACCGTTTCCCCCTCAGCGCACACGCGATATGGATTTCCACAGCCATCCTTCTCGGGCTACCCCGCGCTGGGAAAACCGTCACGGCGACCTTCGTGGTAACGTGCCTGATTCCCCGACCCCTAGCGGCTCACGACCGGATGGTCCCCGGACTCCAGTGGCTACACAACGTCCCTTGGGACCATGGCAACCAGAGCAGAAGCCTGCTGGGAATGCTTCCTGGCAGAGTCGCCCAAAACCTAAGGTTTCGACACCCCCAGAGAACGAACCCCTGGAGTCACGAGTTGACGACATCGCCCGCCAGTTGTCACGATTAACCCTGTTGCTGGAGCGCAACCACAATGTACAATTGTGGGAAAGGGATAACACTCATCATGAAGACCCACATTTTTCCCAGATGGAGCATCCGGACATCTACTCTTGTTTCCGGCCGGCTGCCCCACCAGCTGCATATGTCAAACGTGTGGCCGATTTTGAGCCTATACCGCTTCCCTGCAAGCGCCCAACGGCTAACCCTGGCCAGGATGCGCCTCGGCCTACTACTACCGGGCGTATAGGCATTGTACGACCCGTGGTGACACCGTTGGCTTCCCCGAATGCCCCGGCTACGGCTACCCAGGCTCATCAGCCACAGGAGCCAGCAGCCCCGGGTGCGCCACCTCCAGAACGTACTGCCGCAACCGGAGGTACCGTCCCAGCTCAGCGAGGCATTGCCAGCGCTGAACCTCGTCTCCGTCGACGAGTAGCTGAGTCTGGCAGCCGCACCGATCCGATTCCTGCGGACCCACAAGAGGAAGAACGGCGTATTGCTGAGGACATCATCCATAAGGTCAACAAGTATGCACTACCATTGAGTACAACGCTACGGTGCAACCCTATTAGCATCTACACGAAGGTCGGCAGCCGAGTCCTTGGGTTGGCTCGTCAGCCCACCGGCACTGGCAACCCCCAGCCTGGGCCCATGTTTGGTCCAGCGAGGCCTACGGCAGGCACTCTGCAAGCTTCTCTTTCAGAGCGTCCATCTTCAACAATACCCGCCTGGAAGTCTGATGCCGTCGTACCACCCTGGCAAGTTTGCAAAGCTACCGTATGGATAATTGACGGACATGGAGGACAAATTCCCGTCCCTGCTGTCATCGATTCTGGGGCTTCTCATAGTGTTGTTACACGAGACACACTACGGCGTTTAGACCTTCTACACCTGATGGAGGAGACGGAGGTGACGTTCCTGAATGCGGATGGCAATCATGGTCGGGCCGCTGGACGTGTCAGTGAACTGCAAGTGTCCACTGGCGACCTAACGACGCTGCTGAGTCCGTTCGTCAGCACCGCCCTCAACTATCAGCTACTCCTGGGCACTGACTTCCTCTACCCAATACGAGCAAGCATTTCGTACGACAGTAGTCGTCTGGAATACACCAATGACCGGGATCAGCGGTCCAACATTGCTATCCATTTTCTTCGGAGCCCCAGCTCTAATATTCCCCCGTCTGCTCGGCTTTGGGACGACTCATCTGAGCAAGACGACACTCAACCAGCTTCCATGTTGACGGCCGAGGCATCAATACAGCGGCCTGAGGCGCCCACGCCCGGGGATGTCACCTGCGGCTATCAATAGAGGCTCCGCGCCTGAGACCATTGATTCACCTGAGGGAAACAGCGGAGAGGTTAGTGATGGTGATTCGACAGCCCGTGGGGACATGGACATGGAACACATCGTCGGCCTACTTGTACGGCAAGTGCTTAGGTCAGACGAGATTCCGTCGGAAAGTGCCTCCAGCGGCGAATGGGCTGCGGATGCATGGAGTACCGACAGCGTCGTCAGTTCTGGCAGTGAAGAGGCTCGGGCAAATGTCTGGCCTGG